CCGCAGAACTTGGAATTCGTGTAACCGAGCGGAAATCTCGGAGGAATACATAGACGTTAGAGCTTATCCATGACATTCATCATGTGTTTGTGTTAATTATTAATGCTCGTTTATTAGTTATAATTTTCCTTTCCTCTTGATAAATTTATAAGTGATTTTTTCTTTATCCAGATATTCCTGGAGAGTTAGGGTATCATTGATTTTAAAAACATAAGGCGCAATTTTTTCTCCTTGAGCTTTCTTTAAAATACTTCTAATGGTGCTGTAATTCTTTGGTTCCATGGTGGATTTTTAATGTAAATTAGTTTCATATTAATATTTTTATATATAGTAATAGAGGTAATCATATATTAATCATGTTATGGTTTATATTCATTACCTTCTGGTATGATAAGGTGAGCATTAAAATAACAAGCCATGAGCACCATTATTTATATTACTTTTCGAAACGCCATCAGTCACACTGGTCAATTTTGCAGCCACATCAATCCCTCATTTATGTCACTTAACAGAATGTTCACTTTGTCTGGTTTTGTTGCAGCATGCCCCATATTAAATCAAAATCTGTCAATTTTCAGCCACACTAGCTGTTTTAATTCACATGATCAAATGTTCACTCTGTCTGGTTTTTGTTGCAGTCTGCCCCATTTGCAATGCTCACCAGATAGCAGATCCCAACTATAATTGCCTTAGCCAGGAGGACTTGGCATAGGCCAAAATCTTTGTTGGTCTTGCATAGTAATAAGTAATAGTACCAACATTCCCAAGAAATATAAAAAACATTCGTTGTTAAAATACCTACTATTTCCGGTTAAAACATACTTGTGCTAACCGAAAAAGGAAACAAAAATAAGAAGAAACGGGGGATTCAAGTGATCATTGGTTTGGGGAGCTACATATTTTACGAATTGGTAATGCAACGACCCTTTTATCTGATGGAATAGTTCGTCTAAAGGATATTATATTTTTTTAGTTGTGATAATCAAGGGCTATTATTATTATGTTTGATTTGGTTAAATTTACTGGAAAAATAATTCAAAAACCTTTCAGATCGACCAAGTCGGCGTTATTGCCGAAAAAGTAAACAGATGTTCAATCGCATTTTTTTCTTCACGAAACGGATTAACTCAATGATATTGAGGCCATTTACATCAAAACCGAATTTCACCAAGATTTCGAAAACTCGTCCTTGCGAAGCTGATTACAAATTTCCAGGTGCTGTGGAATATGAAGTTCGAGATCTGGAACGTCATTCTAGTCCGAGGTAAGAATAAATAAAAGCTGGAGGCGCAAGCTATCAAATAACAGATTCCAGTCGATGTGATTTGAAATAAATATAGCGTGACGTCATATATTCATTTGTTGCCAATATGAATCAGCAAAGCAAGGTTTTTTCCACTTAACAGTTAGCTATAGTATTTCTGCTTCTGCATATACCATAATAATATATATACAGCATACAATATATAGTAGACCTTGTTGGTAAAGTATCAGAGAGTAGGTTCGAGTCAATTTAAAGAGGGAAGACTGGAGAAGAATTTGGCGTGTTCTATTTATTCCAATTATCATAACGATAATATCGATGTCTCTCACATATTCATACTCCCAACCACTCTGCTCATCCCTATCAGTACAAAGCGTCAGCATGGGACAGCAGCAGGATAAAATGGATGGTGACTATTTCGACCCAAACCAGTTACCAACTACTGAAATAACAACTCAGACAACATACGCTAATCCCTCTCACTCACAACAACAGCAATCCGAAGATTCCAGTATCATACTTACACAGAATGACTCACATGGCTCTGTTAACTCTGCTAATAACAGAAGCTCTGATAACGTCGATACACACACTGTTGTTCATACCACCATTACTACTCATTCAGCTGATCGCTCACAATTACATGCTGATCCATGCCAGGCTTCTTTTTCAAAACAGTTGGATAATATATCCACTGGTAAACAGTCAGATAACTCTACTCATAATGACAAACAATCAAATACAAATCCCTCTTCTATAAACATATCATCATTCTTACTTAAAGATAAACCGTCTTTACGTGATGGTCTCACAAACGGATTATTAATACAACAACCGCCGTTGTTCGTGGGTAACAAACAAGAACAAAAACACAAAAACACTGCAAGAACGTCTGCAATAAATACAAAATGCAATGAGAAGATTATAGCAAATACGAGTCCGAACACTGATAAGCCCGCAAAGCCCCTGCAAACGCCGACAAATTCTACCTCACCCTCTTCCTTAGTGAATAAAGACAAACCTTACACAATTCCTCCTGCCGTGGCTGCCGACGTTCTTAAAGAAATGATGGCGAACAAACCAGACTCATCGACACTGCAAAAAGTTGAATCACCACATCCTGGAAACGTTCGCAAGTCGGACGCATCGGGTAGTAAGTTTAAGTTGAAGAATGATGGATCAAGTAGGAAGCATGGTTAGTGTTCGGTGGTTCTGTTTAGTGTGGTCGATCTGAGAATTGCCACTTCTTGTTTGATCATTGAGATGTTCTCACGTCTCATTATAATCACGTACTAAATTACAAATTACATCAGATGCCTCCTTTCCTTCAAAATTCTCCTTCCCAAATATCGCGGACAAGAATTTCTTCGTTCCAAACTTTGTTTCCCCATCCTCATCCACCACATGCACAACTGGTTCCCCTCCTTCTTTCGGTCTTAGTTCTTCTTCTTCTCCTTCGCCTTCCGATTCTTTCTCTTCCTCTGCACACTCATTGTTCTCATTTGCCAATTACAATAGTGAGGCTTCCTCTAAGAACCCCTTTCAAACCGCATTACAACCACAAACGCAATATTCTTCCTTATCGTCTAATCAATCATCACCAACGGATATGGGAATGAAACTCATGGGATTGTCGTTTGCACAACCAGCAATGGATGAAAGTAGCCCCCCAACATTGACCCGATCATTACAAGAGCCTGTCTCTCGGCAGAAAGCCGATGTGCCATCTTCTCCAAGTGAGTATAGCACATTAATCATATTATGTACCACTATATACTACATTACGGATATTACTCATTGTTGTACAGTTTAGTTTACATCTTATACCATTTATTACTGTCTTCCTTGGCTCCTTCCCATCCCTACCTCCTCAAATTCGCAAAACTTACCACCACCTTATTCAAAACCAACAGACGCTCAGAAGTCTTCCTCACATTTATTTTTCCCCGATTTCAACGGATCATTTGATTTTGGCCTACCTTCAAAGAATGCGGAAGAAATTCGCGTGTCGGCTGACGGAATCGCAACAGTCATAGGAGTAAGGGATGGGAGTAGTACGCAGAATACTAGAGGAACTGGCGGTAAGAAGTGAAAGACTAAGTTGTTGTTGGGAGAGTAGACGAGTATTAAATTGAAATTTGAGCTGTAAAGAAACATTAGTGACAGAGAGCGGTGTAAATACTGTAACAATAGCGTAAAAACATTTGCGAAAATGATAGTGACGATGACATGGGAAATATGTCCATATCCGTCAATCTACAAATGTGTGAAAAAGGAATTTGTTTTCAATTTGCAAATTACTATAAATATTCCACTCATATGGTTATTTTCTTTTCCCTCTCTACTTGTTGTAACTTTATTTTCTTTCCAAAACCAGATCAAAGTTAACGCGAACACAATTCAATACAAAGCTAATTACCTTCTCTTCCTTCCGCTCTTCTAACTTTCAACCCAATTCGCACTCAATTACCAGAAACGTCTCCAAAACCGTTCCAATCCACATGCCAGTCCTATCGACCCATACGGCCACTTCCAACACGTGCGAAAGCACGTTTATCCAGTAATGCATCATCCCATCCTAATTTTGATACTCCCAACAATAATAATATAGAAGTCACATCTCTTGGGTTAAACTTTAAAGGTGAAATTAACAATCCTATTATCTCCTCTGGATTCAAGCATACTCTTTCAATTATTGGAACATCGATGGCCGCACCGTCCTTGTTCACGTTCGCTACGCCAACAGGTTCGGACGTCATAGATGATGACTTCGAAATCGATGATGATGATGGGGGAAATGAGTCTGGAGGAGTTGGATGGTTAGATAATGCTAACAACAAGAAAAAGCGCAAAGCCCTACAGACTGTTGGAGGAAATTCCTTGTCAACAGGAGGTGCGGTGAAATCGATATCAAGCAAGGATCGTACGAGCCCTTTACGGAGAACAGATAGACGCCCTGCACCTCGTTCTGCGGCATTGAGCAAACCTTCACCTGATGCTTCTGATATAGCCTCAGCAACGGCCAATATTACCTTACCATCTGTTTCTCTTCCATCAGATAACATAGTTCATCCACCTCAAACAGAATTCGAGTTCTCTTTCAAAACGGTATCAGAGAAGTCAACATACGATGTTACCTCAGTTGCTAATGCGTCAAACGTAAAGAAGGTATCTGTGGGTTCAACGATTCGTCATATTGCAAAGTTAGAGCCGTTACTTACAGGATCATCGTTTGCGGGAAAACAGCAATTGGAAGATCAACGTCAGTCGGAAGAGTTACAGCAGTCAAGGGTAATATTACAGCATTCAGAAGGACTACAGCATTCAAAAGGGCAACAGAATTCAGAAGGACTTCAGCATACAGAAGGGAAACAGAAATCTGAAGGAGTACAGTCGGAAGGACAACAATTGGAGGGAAAACAACAATCGGAAGGAAAACAACCATCCGAAAGAGAAAAGCAGTCGGAAGGAAAGCAACGACAACAGTCAGGAACGCAGCGGCAACCGGGATCGTACCGACAATTAGAAGAACAACGACAATCAGAAGAACAACGACAGTCGGAAGAACAACAGCAGTCGGGATCACAGCGGCAAATAGGAATACAACAACAGTCTGAAAGACAAAAGAGTGCTCCACGGAGAAGAACGAGTAGCAATGGAAGCAGCCATACATCAAGTATGGGTGTTATAGGGGCGACCATTGAGACTACTGCGGGCGGAGGAAATAGTCATAGTAACGTTAATATAAACATAAACCGCACAAACAACTCAAATCATGTGAACGCTGGCCTTGCTAGAATTGAGCCTGCCATACAGCAACAGCCACAAACGCAACGGAGGAAAGGACCCAAACATTCTGCTATATCGAATGCGAAAGACTCATCAATGATTACAAAAGACGTTTCCCAAAACACTATCTCCAATGCTGAGACTAATACTGCTTCTCCTACAACCACCCCAGAACGAGTACAAACGCCCAACAATCAGCACAACGTGCAAAAGCTTGCATCTCAAGTATCACATCCAGTCGCAACAGTGAAACGACCTCCCAATGCTAGGAAGAAAAAGAATAAGAAAAACGGATCTCCCACCCCGCAAGCACAGAATACTATAAATTCTAATGCCTCGTCCGCGCCTTCAACAATATATAATGCCCCGGGCCAGAACTCTCATCCTCACCATTTTCAACGAGAACCACTTTCTCCGTCAATGCTAGGCTTCTCGCATCACACTTCTCATAATTCATCGCAACATGATGACGCATCGAGTACGACAGGCTCGATAGACACACAGCCGATGTCCGCTCCGACACCAGCAAATAGGCGAAGATTTAAATTGCAGGATAAGGGTGGAGAGTGGATCTGCATGTTCTGTGAATATAGATTGTATTATGGTGACGGAAAAAGAGTCAGAAAAAGAAATAAGGGAGGAAGTGGACGCGGAAATGTTGATGAGCGTGGAGGAGGAAATAGTAACACTAGTGGAAGCAGTAGTAGCAACGTGACCAGTGCTGGTAGTCCCACAAATGATAATGGGAATAATAACAGTGCTAATATAAGGAATAATGGTAGGAATGCGCTCGAAGCGTTTGGTGTTAAACATGCTACAATAGATTACCAAACCTGAAGTTACTAAAACGGGTTCGAGTTGACAATTGTTGGAGACTGATTTAAATTCGAAGATGTTATGTACGTTAATCAAATAACTAAATGTAATATGAAACATGTAGTAAATAAAAATATCATAATCAAGCCATACTGTTGGAGGAGAGATGTTTAACTATGTGTATTTTAGTCGGGGAGCAGAGACACAAACGTATACTAATCTGTGTAATTGATAAATAAATACTATTTAAAAGATCGGTTTTAATATTAATTCCATCCAGGGCCATATTGAACGGAAGAAAATTACAGAACTAGCCCTTCTCCTGCGTGAGGACACAAGAATATATTATAAAACGCCTTATAATCTAAAGCTAAATAAACGATAATCCTCGATTCAGCAGGACAACCAAGTGTACCTTAACATAATTAGACTGGATATTTCTATATCACATTCTCTTTCTAACATCACATACACAATGCCGCTCATTGGTGTGATATTTAGACAATATGCTTATTTTGACTTGGGTCAGATGAAAAAAACCTAAAACCTAATAGAACAGATCTGTAGAAACTTAATTATAATAATGAATAGGACTTCATTGCCAAAGAAAATATCTATTTGCTTTACAACCATATTATTATGTATCCAACTCAATATACCAACACATCCATTGCCATAATTATCTCTGCTGCTCCTCTATGGAGACCGCACTGCTGTTGCAGTTTGCAAAATACTTCAGAGTCTTTTGTTTCAAATTATTGGTGAGTTTGTAGTTGTACGCCAATAGTCGATGTTTTACAAGATGTAATTTGCATTGGACGTGTGATGCTAACTTTAAAATTGAAGTTCTCTCCTCTATAATACTGTGTCGTCACAGCATTTCCTTAGAATGATAGCAAAAGAATGCATCGCAGATGGTGTATGTTACGAAGAGCAAGATATATTGAGCTTTCACAAGCTAGTACGGATTTACATAGTGTTATACAGGTGTTTATTTGAGAGGTATCTCGTTTGAACACCCACTGAATGAAAGCGTTGTGTGCGTTATCTGCGGCGAAAAGATGCCTAAAGTCTCGTGATCTAGGCCGTCTATATCACCTGATTTTAATTTTAATAGTATAATATTCCATTCACTTACACCTTATTCCTCACTTGATCTTTTAACAATGAGTTATGAAATATTAGCAAACAACGTAATACGAGTAACTGCTTCAGACGGTTGCTCACACAACCCTTCCAACACTACTGTAACAGAAGAACCAGACACCAGTATGAATTACTATCATTACTTGCCCACAGAGGAGAAAAAGAATCACGATTGGAGGAAAAGAGTAGGACAGAAATTAGCTATTAGACTCAAGACATATGGTGTTGAACTTGGTAAGTTACGATTCGGAACGTCGAAGAGAATTGCTAGCTGGAAGACGGAATAATAATCGAGTAAGAATATATTGTTAACAATGAACAACATTATGGATGGTATTTAATAGCTTTTCTTGCGTATTCCGTTTTTTGTAATGCATTGTCAACACGCTAATAACAGTTTTAGCGACATTATAATTAACTAGTTGATCTTTGCATGTTCGATCAACCTTATTTTCTGTCATACTTGAGAATGTTTCTTGTCGCCTAGCCCGTCTTAATTGATTGTTTTAATACGCATTCTGATACTTAATACAATTGTTATTACTGCACTGTTTCATTATATTCCTTGCGACTTATTGTCCATTGATATTATTTGATTAGATCCGGACACAGCAGTGTTGGAGAATTGGCCAAGCGGGTATGAGCTATACGAACATAGAACCCGAAAGGATAGTACGCAGAAAATACGCACAGATGTTTACTTGTTCGGTGAGTAATAAAGTAAACCCTTTGGTAAGTTAATTGATTATATTCAATCCATAATACTCTCTTCTGTTCAAATAAAGGTCGCCATAGATTCCGATCTGCCAACGAAGTAGAACCACACATTTTCTGGCTAATAACAGACAAAACACTTCCATGCCAATGTAAATACTGCACAAAAAGCAGGGTAGTACCCAATAACAACACTATAACAGGCTCATCTGAATCATCAATAGTCAAAAAGACAGAACCAGCCACATTGAAAACAGAATCATCGACATCCTTACAGTTTAAGCGATATTTTGCATTTCGCACTGGAGAATTGGTCTGGGTAGACTTGAAAGATATTGGAGACGCAACATTTATTCCTATGGTTCGATGGAATGATGGGAAAATGAGATATTGGCCGTCAATAATATGGACTCGCGACAGGCATACCGACGTAAAACCGGGTGTTCCTGTCGTACTACACTATCATGTCAAACTACTACGTATACCCAAATGTAGACGACTCAAAGAAACCTCTCTTAGGCCATGGTTATCGCACATTGCGATGATTACCCCCGAAGATACAAGTCCATCTCGGAACAATGTAACAGACCTCATACTCAATCAGGATTACATATCCGCCTTCGCTATTGCTCTAAATGCAGCACGCAAATACACGGAGAGCTACGCAGTAGAATCTCCGTATCGATACAGAGAAACGGAATATCGCTTATTATCCATATCTGACATCAAGGAAAAACAACGCCTCCAGCTGATGGCCCAACACGTACATTACCATTACATTTGGATCGGATCAGAACATGTGTATGAGGACGATGTACTTCGCCTGAAACCTGAAGCGGATGAAAAATATTATCTTCGCGTAGCTAGTATCTACAAACATCCCGAAAAAGGTATCCAGTTTACAGGAGATCTATATACGCGAGGCCAGGCTTTGAGAAATGTCCCAGAGACTGTGGACGATTATTCATGGGTACCATGTAATTCAGAAGAGGAGGAGTTTACAATTGACTTATGCGATGTCGCCGGAAGATTTTATGCTACGTGGCCGGATATTGAGGGCTTGTCCAAAGCGAGGGAGCTGCTGAGGGTTCATGTAAGACATGAGTCTCTTGGCTGCGATTGGAAGCAGAATGGGTTTGCCGGTGAAAATGGTATGAGATACGGAGATTGTTTATGGGTTGACCGAACTGCGTGCGATATTGCGTTCGAAAGGAAATAATATCAATCATTTTTATCAACTTCTTTTGAGTATTAATTCAGTTACTTTTTGATCTCTGTTTTTAGCCGCAACCACTGGACGCGCTGCAAAACGGGGCACAATACTGAAGCTCCCTGGTGAAAATTTAATGCGTAAACACAGGAGAGTAGAGAAAACTGGTGCCAACAAGAGTAACAGGAGAGACGAAGGCAATGGAAGTGGAAGTACTGCCGCTCAACCTGCTGTCACTCGCCCCATCACTACTCAACCTACAGGTACTCCACCTATTGCTACCCAGTCGCCTGATCGATCCATCACGACTCAACCCATTACTACTCAAATTGCTACCCCAAGTACATCAACTAACGCAGCGGCAACCATTCAGGCAAATTGATTATGTATACAAACCAGTAAATTACTCATTTAGATGTCTGGGCTGTTTGGTGATGTTGATGTTTTATTTTGTTAATGAGCGAGTCGAGTCTGTGCCGCGAGTGGTTGTAAATAGTAATAAATATACTAACTAATTAATGACAGAATGCGTCACGTATTCATCCTAATGTTATCTAGCATTTACGAGCCAATAACTTTTCACTAAACAAATTATTATTTATTGTATAATTATGTTGCCCCGCGTCTATTGAGTTGCGTCCTTAAATGTCGAAACATAGTTACGAGAGATATGGAATGATGCAACGCCAAACTCTTCCCTTAATTTGTGAAATGTGAGCATATGTACTGTTTCTTCACGGCATAATCTGTACTCAGGTCTACTATGAGCAACATCTCGCCCAAAAAGAATCTATTGGTGGCTAGCAAAAGACCAAAGTCTGTGGGTAGAACGAATAGAGCAATGGGTATATGCTTCTTATTCTTGAACTTGTAATTAAGGAAATCTCAGGGCATGTCTAATCACCTATGTGCCTTTAAATAATTCTGCATATTGAACTCTGTTAGAAACACATGATCAATCATTTGCTATCCCTCCTAGAAATACAAATGCTACCGACAAACCTGAACGCCTAAAACAAGGGCTAGACCGCTCCTCTACGATATATCTAATTGTAAAGTGAAGCCCGATAAGGTGGTCCTGTAAGAAATCAGGAGATCCGATGCGAGTGCCATATTTTCTGGCAAATCTCGTTGTTTTTTCAAAATGGCTCTTGCTATTAGACTCTAATATTAATGCGATCGTATTGTATTAGGCATTTGAGCATTCACCCGACTTGATAAGCTTGTTACCTTTTATGTATGAGATAAGGGCTCGAATATTGTTTGACAGCAGGATAAAAAGGGAAAGGGGAACACGTTTTCTTTTAAATAGTTGTCAAAAACATTTACCGTGATAGCCAGAGTATTGTCTTTGCTCATGATGTCAATCAACTTAGAAATGTTTTTTTTTGTCAAGGTGGTGCCTTGGATAAGAAAAAGTCACAAGGGGCAGGGCAATCATTTTTTTTTTTTGAATTTTGAGCCAACTTTATTATTGTGGCCTGTTCTGCCCTTTCTGTCTATGACTTGTTTGCTTCCTTCTTAACAAATTAATGCGTGTCAAGTAAACACAATTTCCTAATCAAAAAAGTCATCTAACACGGTTTGTACACTCTATCCTTGACTAACAAAGCTCAAAATCGCAAAACGATAACAACTCTATGGCAAATGGTACTCATGATGCCTAATTACATAAAAACGGAGATTCTTTGGACCCTGAACTGCCTTCTGGTAGTCGAAAACTCTCTCCTAATCAACGTCGTCATAGAGTTCCAATATCATCACTGATAGTGTTACGGTCGGTAGTGTTACGGTCGGTAGTGTTACGGTCGAATCGGTATTTGTTTGGTTGGGAGAGCCAACTAAATCTTAATGTTCACAGTTAGACTCTGCCCTATACTTCGTCTACAAGTGACCTAATTTCATTGCGCTTTCTCACTCCCTATACGACGTATTCCTTGTACTCGTATCCGGGTAAGGGTAACCGTATGTAAATTATTAACAACACAACTACGGAATCGGAGGTGAATAAAAATTTTTTTTCTATTTTTTAAAACAGAATAAATGTCAGCATAAGGTGAGATATACTTGCCACTTGTGCTATTATTTATTATATCATTATGTGACATTACTTACTGACGATAATGTTAAACGTTAGAATAATTTATGCAAGGCCGAACGGCGGCGACACGTTTATGGTTACGACTATTATTTTGACACGTTCAGTTTTGAACGTGTCAATTATCATTCAATTGTAAAATCTCAACATAAGGTGAGATTACACTTGCCACTTGTGCTATTATTTAGTATATCATTATGTGACATTATTTACTGACGATAATGTTAAATGTTAGTATTGTTTATTCAAGGCCAAATGGCGGAATTTTTATGATTACGACAATCATGTCTCGTTCAGTTTTTACTGTAATGATTGTTGTAAAGGAATCTCCGATCCAGTCAATCAACAACACAACATCAATAATGAATGTCAATGAACAACGAATTGCCGCAATCATTGGACAACAACTCCTTAATGAACTCTATGGACTGGCCTATGAAACCGCTGGAAGAAACTTCAGAAATGGATACAATCAGCACTATGTCCCAACCTCACATGACTCAAATAGCGATAACAGACCTAATAACCGAATGGATGAGGATGGTGACAATGTCGAACTCCTGACTATGAAAGGGGACGAAACAATAGATTGGATGGCGATGACGATAGAGGAAATAAACGGGGCACTAAACCATAACCAAGAAACACTCCCACCAGCCCCGAATACGCACCAAATGTCATCTGGCGAGAATTCGATCAGACCATCCAATCAGACGATGAGGGTGGCGCAAGCGACATCAGAAATCCCCGACAGTCATGTGACATCATTACCGAATACAGTGGACTCTCCCTAAGTGCAGGTCGTCGGGACCAAGGTCAATGCCTGCACTTAAAGAAACGTGCATTTAGGGAGAACCAGTAGTATTGAATCCACGTGATACTATATAATAATATAATAAAATAAATCAACAAACAACAGACGTAAATACTATAACTAATGTTGCAGTGGTAAATACTCAAAACCGTTTATTGAGATTCTTTATTAAGAGTAAGACTGTTAGAGTTGAAAAACAATTCGAGGTTATATATTATAGTTAGCCTGCTGAAGCAATGTAACTTGCAGATTTCTCACTATTTTGGTGATTTTTGAAATTCCAATATATTCTGACATACAGTGCCCTCTCAAAAGTCATGGACCACCCTGTCGATCAATTAGTAAAACATATGAAAAATCTATCTTTTCGAAATCCAGTATTGGCGTTATTTACTAAGTAAACAACAAAAAATTTTATATCGTT